TAGAAACTGGCCGTAATACACATTAATACAAAATATATTTTCTTTGAGAATACTTCAACTGTAATACAATTTAAGTGCACCAAACCAATAAATTGACGCCTTTAAAACTATATTGATTGTCGAAAAACGCTTTGCTATGTCGTATGACTAGGCGTATGTATACAACATAGCAAAGCGTTTATATACATATGCCTGGTCATACAACGTAGCGTATATATAATTTAACGTATGATATATCATACGTTCGTTCAGCCATCTATGTATCATTTATAGGTTATTACATTTATACATTCGTCAAACGACGTATTGTGGACGATGAGCCTTAATATTATAAATTGTCTAAACTCATTTTGTAAATACTTACATAGATTCTTATAATAAATGTACCTGGGTTCCTAAAAAAACAATAAGTTGAATGATGTTCTTCTTAACAACGAGAAATAAAGTCCAAATAGTGATATTTATTAAACTAGGAAAGCAAAAAAGAAACTTTGTCGCCAATAAAATGTAAAAAGACACTGTTTCCGCCCGGGATCGAACCGGGGACCTTGTGCGTGTGAAGCACACGTGATAACCGCTACACTACGGAAACTTAACATTCTGTGACAAAATTATAGATCAGTACCTACGTAATAACAATATCTATTATTCTTTATATTTATCGGAATTATATATTAACGTTAAATATGAGTGAATATTCCTAAATACTTAATTTTCAGTAAACATATACGAAACTATATTTTGTTATCAACTTTTATGTTGTGCTGCCCTCTAGTTTATTTAATCGGAACTGCTATACTGTCAGTGTCAGATTATTTGTTACTGAAAATTCCAATAGATGGCAGTGGCGTATCGTAATATTGCATGAGTATATTTTTATTATGGCTTGATTTCTTACTTGCTTACGATATTTATACATAGAAAACTGTTTAATGCATAATGAGAATTCCGGGGAGCAGCTCCCCGAAAATGACTGTACCGTCATTATCCGAAAGTCTCATTATTATTATCTTACATTCTTACTTTTATTAGTTCTTTTATCTCTTATTCTGTTCCTCTGAAAAAATAGTATACAATCGCAATCACAGTTCTTTAATTTGAAATAAACTGTACTACCATAATATTTCTGATTCGAATAGTGTTCGATTCGTCTAGAATTAATTCAGAATTTTAATTAATTTAAATTTTATAGTGGTTAATGTATTTGGCCAATTTGTATAAAGACACTCAATATTAAATGCCAATTTAATTTCGAACTGTTTGTAAATCCTAATACTTTAGCCACTGAATGTCTTATCCGTCTAGTCTAGTCTATTTCAATGGAGTGAAATAACTATCAGAGAAGAGGTACTCCTCGCTTTTCAAAAAGTGATTGTTATTGTTAAGCCTACCTCTCGCCTTTTACGTTAGAAGACCTGCAGAGATACAAAACAAATGATAGATACCATATAATTTAACACATTTTAGATACATCTTTGTTACACAATAGTGTAGTTTTGTAGTAATAATAGACGGTCAATCATTTTATTATGTAATCAGATCGGCCGTTACCTACAACCTACAAAATAACTCGATGCTTATAAAAGTACCGATTTGTATAATTTATTGTGAAAATTCGCTCTTATTGTTAGTATGTTAGTATGTATACCATCTTTCCAGGTTTTTAGGGAAAGTTCAAGTTAGTTACAATATTACCTACTGTGGTGTCGGTATATGGTAGCCATAGAAAAAGATTGAAATAACACATGAAACAATTTGATTCAAGAAACAAAGATACTTTTCAATAGAACACAATAAGACAAATACTGAAGAGAACATGGTGATCTCTCATACAGGTCATCCCATAAAGTGTGGGAGAGCCATGCTTCGGCACGCATTTATTTATTTATTTATTTATTTATTTATTTATTACAGTTACAACGGTTGAGAACAAAAACCAATTAAAGTAACTGGACACATCAACAAAATAAACAATCAAACAATAAAACTGGAACAAAACATATACAACGAACGAGAAGAGTAAAACTTATTTTAAAAAAATGGTAGCATTCATAAGTTCCTCTCGCAGTACTTCAGGCATTCCGATAAAATATCCTTCCATTCGTCCGCAAACAGATCACTAGTTGGATTGGAATCCAAGAGACCATTGAGCGCGGCCAGAGTGCGAGGAATCGGTGCTTTAGCACGTGCTACGGTACGACATGAGGGTACGGCAAACAATCTGTGCTTTTTACCCCGGCAGTAATTGTCTGGAACGTAAAAACGTGATAGTGACTCCAGTATGTCTGGAGCGTCAATAGCGCCACGGAGGGTTTTACAGGCTACTACAAGTTGGTTTCTTGCTCTCCTTACCTCTAGTGAGTTATATCCAAGACTACCCAATAAAAATTTTGTCGGATAGAGGTAGGGATAGTAACCGTGCATTCGCTTGTACAAATTCCTAAGGAAAGCTTTTTGAACTTTCTCTAAGAGTAGGGCGTAGGTACTTTCGTGAGGATTCCATACACACGAGCTGGTTTCCAACTTACTACGAACCAGAGCATTAAATATGATCTTAATGGCATGAGCGGTGCGAAAATCACGACAATTACGCAATACAAAACCTAACCTTTGGAAGGATTGCTTTGCTATAGTGGTTATATGGTCATGGAAAGTAAGTTTTTGGTCAAATGTGACTCCCAGGTCTTTCATGACTGTCGACTTTGTAATACTGCAATTATTTAAACTGTAATCGAAGTTGATTGGGTTCCGCTTTCGACAAAATGTCACAGCATAGCACTTGGATGAGTTAAACTCCATCTTATTATCCACGCTCCACTTGTATACTGCATCAATATCTTGCTGAAGTGCCAAGCTGTCACGCTCAGAGTTTATTTCCAAGTATAGTTTCAGATCATCCGCATATAAGAGGCATTTTGCATGAAGTAGAATTTGAGGAAGATCATTGACCATGATAAGAAACAGCAAAGGCCCCAAAATCGAGCCCTGACTTACACCAGAACGCGTATGATAGGCCTCCGACACGTACATACCAAGTTTGACAAACTGTTTTCGATCGCGTAGATAGTCTGCAAAGAAATGTAGGAGAGACGGGGAAAACCCTATTTTGTTAAGCTTCTCTAGCAGTGTGTCGTTATTTATCCTATTAAAGGCCTTCCGGAAGTCAAAGTAAAGTACATCTACCTGACGTCCCCGATCCAAACCAAATGAGATGTAGTCCACTAAAGTTAGGAGATTTGTATCGACTGACCTCTTGCTCCTAAAACCGTGCTGCTCGTTACAGAGATACTTGTTTACTTGTTCATAAACAATATTATGAAGGATGTTCTCAAAGACTTTTGCTGGGGTAGACAGGATTGCGATAGGGCGATATTCCTCAACAGAGCCCCTGTTTTGAGTTTTTGGAATAGGCGTAACCCTGGAAATTTTCCATTCGGTGGGATATATACCGGTCTGTAAAGCTAAATTAAAAATATGAAGCAGAGGATCAATGAAAATATTTCTTAGGTCTGCATCTGCATGCGCCGGCTCGACCGGAGTGATACCACGGCCGAGCAGAAAACCGACGTGAAGCAACGCTTGCGTTGTGTTTCGTCGTGTGAGTGACCTTACCGGACACTTAATGACACTGTACAATGTAACACCCACTTTTCACTGTTTATGTTATGAGTCCCATGTAATGGGTGGTGAGCCTATTGCCATATACCGGGCACAATCCCAGCCTCCGTGTTACTACTGAGATTTTTTTTCAAAATCCCAGTGATACTTTGCACGGCTCAGGAATCGAACCCAAGACGCCTTGCCCGGCAGTCGCACTTGCGATAGCTCGGCCAAGGAGTCTGGTTAAAAATCAGCTAAATTATATTAGCAAAGGTTCACAATGCATCGTAAAACAAAAATAGTTTATAGAAAAAAATACAAGAAGAAAATACTAAGAAAATTATTCTGAGAGATGGTCAACCTAATAGCAGCTAATAGTACTGTAACTAATATCGGTTGTGTCTAAGTAGAATCGTGAACTTTGTGAACTATCAATGGAATCACGATGCTAGTGATGTGACTTCACGGCTGTTTATTTTTGTCTATAGTAGCCATAGGTAATTAGAATATGAGCAGACGGATTGCCTAATGCAAAAATGAGGTGCTGGCCTTTTTCAAAAGAGTACGCTGAGTTTTTGAAAGTTTTAATATTCTATGATTTCGGAATCTGATCCAAACACGCACATAACTGCACAAAACAATGGATTTTCCCAAACATAGAGTAATATATTTTATAAGCCTCGTGACAAGAAAAACAAACGATACATTTCATCGACAACTTTCTGACCAACACAGTAGCGTCACATCACTAGAGGTCGTGAATGTGGCGTCTGGCAGAAACCGAAAGTGATGCGCCGGCGCCGCGCCGTGGGAACAGGGTCAAAGAGCCATACGATCTGCAGTCTCTTTATTATAACCATGGATGAGAATTAAATAACTATAAAATGCTTTTTTAATGTATATTAAACTGTCAAACACCAAGCGGTCACCGGTGACCGCGACCCATTGTTCTTTAATTGTGTCTATAAAACCGGTACTCGACGAGTTAAAGTCAAAACTTTGTGGCGACGCATGCCACATGTCAACGGATGACGTCACCAACAACTGTTGGGCAGAAAGCCCGCCAGGCACAATCACCTCGCCTGGTCGGAGGATCCTCCTTTTCCGATCTTAGGGAACTATACTCTCTGTTTCCTAAAACTTAATACTTAAAACTGAAAAATATTTTCAATGCTGATCGACGTTTTTTTTGTAGCATAAGCCGGTAAACGATACGGCGCGTCGCGTTCCGCGCGCGCCTCAAAGAGCCATCAGACCACCACAGATGGGGCCCAATAGGGCCGATGCCGATTCGGAGTCGCGGAGAACCTAACGGGTAACCGGGGCTCCGGCTCGACGTGCAGGAGAAGGAACGGGGTGGTTTTTAGTCAGTAAGAGTCTGACACTCCCTTCCGCCTCACCCAGGCGGGAGCAGTCATTCGATGATTTTCCCCCCTTAAAAAAAAAAAAAAAAGCCGGTAAACGAGCAGAAGGAACACCTGAAGCAATCCGCGTCGCCTATGGACACTCGAAACACCAAGGCGTTACAAGTGCGTTACCCGCCTTTTGGGAATTGGGAATTTGAGGATTGTGGAGGATTCGGGGATTCGGGGCTTCGGGAGACGGGGACTAGGGAGGGGGGTAATTAGGCCTCCGGTAATCTCACTCACATGATGAAACACAACGCAAGCGTTGTTTCACGACGGTTTTCTGTGAGGCCGTGGTATCACTCCGGTGGAGCCGGCCCATTCGTGCCGAAGCAGAGCTCTCCAACACTTTTATCATATCATAATAAAGTTTTATCATTGACAACTTGGTTTTTTTTAAATAGGATGACTAACGATCAAACAGATCACCTTGTTACAGAAAAAACGCAGTGACACATTAGGTATAAGACAAAGTAACTCTTTTCTTAAATCGTTGAGGTACACGATCATCTCAGAACAGAAATAAGCCAGTTCTAACCAGCTTTCCACGACAAAAAACCTTTTGATATCAAACTAACTACTTATACTACATTGTAACAACTTACACTGGCTGTGAACGGAAGCGCAAAATATACATTATGTAAAACATCACAATACATTATCCAGCATCGCTCCACATTCCGTGTCATAACATTGTTTAATAACAACTGGAGTTGACGAACAATTCTCTATTGGGCTACATCTTCATGTGTTACTTTGTAAAACCATACAAGGTAGTTAGTAGGTACAGAGGAGTCTCTTGTTGCTCTTGATTAAGGAAGTTATAAAGTTAAGCCTCGTAAATCTAATGATGTTAGTTAAATGCGATCTTTGACCAAATTGTAGTCTTTTCTGGTGTATATTTACATAGAGAATTACTAGATTAGTGTATAAACTTCTTTAGAAGCGAACATGTTCGTGTTTTAAGTTTCTTTATTAAAGAAAAGGTTGTTGTGTCAATTTCTACAAAACTCATAGGGTTCCTCTTCCCTCAATTACCTACTTAACTTTTCTATCTCCGTATTACTTATATCTTACCGGAAGCCCAATTACCTGCCTTCCTAATCTCCCCAATCCTTGAATCCCAAACAACAACATCCCAATAAGCCAATAACTCACTTGTAATGTCTCTGGTGTTTTAGGTGTCCATGGACAGCGCCGATTGCTTACCATCAGGTGATCTATCCGCTCGTTTACCGAATTATCCCATAAAAAATATAAGTCTTTAAAAAAAAATTAACCTTCGAATCGATCTAAAAGCGAGGACGGTTAACAGGTTTAACAGATTCTGCCATTTTTATCTTCGTGACACATTAACAGAACTAACATTTATGTTCCTAGTGACAGCTACCTTGTCCATACCGCATTCAGATCATGGTCCATTGAACCATATTCCAATTTAAATAGTATGTATGTAAGTGGGAGAAAGGATCGCAAATGTCACGGCTATCATTGGACATTACAGTGACGATACCAGTTGTATGAAGGTACCTACTTCATTATAATTTTTGCTCCATATTCAGTCAGCTTGTTCTATCACTGGTCATGTAAAAGTCAAGATGGTTATAGAGGCACAAAGATCAGTCTATTGTGGATAGGACGCAATTTAGTCTAGGTTTCTTTACACATACTAACATAACATAACATCACGCCTTTTATCCCCAAAGGGGTAGGCACATTATACCACTGTAAAATGTAAAACCCACTTTTCACTATTTATGTGTGAGTCTCATGTAATAGGGGGTGAGCCTTTTGCCATATACCGGGCACAATTCTAGACTCCGTGCTACTACTGAGAATATTTAAAAACCCAGTAGGAATAGAACCCGAGACCCCTTGCCCGGCAGTCGCAATTACGACCACTCGGCCAACGGGACAGTCTTTACACATACTATTGTGAGCTATTTCGTATTTAGGCTATGCTTCGCTAATCCGAGATGTGATATTCCTACAAACCATCCTCATTAGACGGAAGAATATTCTATTCTATAACATTGTGCCTGTCCCAAGATTAACTGCTGTAAAGAAAATAGCGTATTCCTTTTTAAAAGGCCGACAACGCACCTGTGACTCCTCTGATGTTACGGGTGTCCATGGGCGGCCCTATTCGCTTACCATCAGGTGATCCGTCTGCTCTTTTACCTTCTATTCCATAAAAAATATGTTGTAATACTGTTCCCCCGTGTCTTTCGAATAAGTGACTACATGTCTCACTTGGACCGCGTAACACCGCTCCCTGATAATCTTGGACTTGGACCTCAAAGTACGATATCTTGTCTCATTTTTTAAACTTGTGGAAATCCTCATAGCCCTTGACTAGCTGAGTGTGTCGGACAGCAGGTTATGTCGGACTCTTACTGACTAAAAACAATCAATCCAGAAAAAAATAAGAGAATCACTGGGCATAAATGAACTCACCTGCGACACTTACTACCTCCTTCCTATCTTTTCGAAGTTAAATTCTACGGCGATTCCCACCACGCCGCCTTTGTCTCCTAGTTGGGTCCAACTTCTCTCGATATCTCTTTGCAATTTCCTTCTGAAACATAACAGTTTCACAGAACTTGTCTGCCTGCCAACTGCAGATTATACTACCCTCTTTATGTAGAAGCATCTAGTCCTGGCAGTGGTCCGGTCATTCTTGATGATGTTGAGCGTGTGATTAGCCATACATCTATTCCATGACTCATCTTTTTTGTTCTGACATCCTTAGGTACTTGAAAAATCTACAAAATCCTGTCTCATCTCAAACAATTATCTAATCTTTATAATATCTTTCTCAGAACTCAATACCGGCTGTCAACTAAGTTGCCAACTCGCAGTGCAAACCATTATAACCTGTATCTCAATTAAACATAAGGTTTATATTACTAATGACGAGAATTATTTTAAAAAGTGCAACTGCATGGATCAAATACATATACGGTTTAGTTTATCTGTATTAGAATTAGTACAGATAGCAGAAAAAGTTATTATTTAAATTATTCACATCAATAACTCATGGCAAATAATGGTGGTCTGTAGGTCTTCTCTGCGTTTTTTTTTAAGGGGTGAAAATCATCGAATAACTGCTCCCGCCTGGGTGAGGCGGGAGGGAGTGTCAGACTCTTACTGACTAAAAACCACCCCGTTCCTTCTCCTGCACATCGAGGCGGAGCCCCGATTACCCGTTAGGTTCTCCGCGACTCCGAATCGGCATCGGCCCTTTTGGGCCCCATCTGTGGCTGTCTGATGGCTCTTTGAGGCGCGCGCGGAACGCGACGCGCCGTACGCTCGGGTCTGTTTCTGGTCGGACGGGGAGCCACCCATGCTCGCCGCCTGCAGACCTGCGCTTACGGTGGCCGGAGATCGTGAGGTCTTCTCTGCATAAGACTGTCATAATAGCCAATCTTAGTAGATGGTTTTTTGATCGTAATTTAAAAGGGCCAGGGTTTATTATAGAATCTGCAACTGCTGCAATACAATTGTTAGCCCTCCTGGTTTTGCGGGTTTCTCAAGACGCTATACTCGTTACGTACCATCAAGAGATCCTTGTACTCGATGCTGCTACCTCTAAGTATCTGCTTTAAAATGCACAATTTGCAGCACATACGCAAATCGTTAAAATCGATAGTAATATCAAGGGAGGAGGGATCTATGATTCCTGCTATCCATACTTAGGTCACATATGACGTAACGTGGAAAGTTGCACGGATCACACCTGCGCGGCGTGTGCGCAGCTTATCACTCGATAATTACGTAGAAAGGGCCGCTTTATGGGGACAGAAGTGGAGTACAGTTGTACCCTGTAGGGAGTGCCACTGATATGTGGTGTCATTATATTTCAGAATCTAGCTTTGCTTGTAAAAGAAATTGTATTAGTGAATAAATAACTGTCTGCCTCGTTGGCCGAGTGGTTGCAAGTGCGACTGTCGGGCAAGGGGTCTCGGGTTCGATTCCCGGGTCGGGCAAAGTAATACTGGGTTTTAAAAAAATCTCAGTAGTAGCACGGTGTCTGGAATTAGGCCCGGTATATGGCAATAGGCTCACCCCCTATTACATGGGACTCATAACATAAATAGTGAAAAGTGGGTGTTACATTGTACAGTGGCATAATGTACACCTCTGCCTACCCCTTCGGGGATAAAAGGCGTGATATTATGAATGAATAACTGACTGCCTCGTTGGCCGAGCGGTCGCAAGTGCGACTACCGGGCAAGGGGTCTTGGGTGCAATCTCCGATCCGATGTTATATACATTCTAAAGGTACAAATTTCAAGGTATATATTACGCCTATTTCAAGCAAGTCTATTGTTATGACTAGATAAAATTATAATTTCCGTTCCTGTGTAACTACCAACTTTCAGAGATTTGCAGTAGATATTCAACATATAAAATCGAATATTTTGTATCTCATGATTTCCATACCTTTACGATAATAGCTAAACTTTTCTGATATTTGACGGAAATCATTGATTTTAATATTGTTTTAAACTTTTTTACACAATTGTAACACTTACATTAATTTTTATGATTTCCTACTGACTTGTCATTGCTTATTACTTCGTTTAATTAGAAAGTCAAAAAACCGACCACTAAATTCTCAGAAAGGTTTTGTAATATTACTTTCCATGTATGAACTAATTAATCAGTCCTTTATTTCGCAGTCATTTGCGACATAATGCCAAAAAGTCGGATACTTTTCAAATATTAATAAAAATTATTTAGACTGCATGCTGCATTTGCGGCACTGAATATGGACACTTGAATTTCATCCCCCCTTTCCCCAATAGCTGAATCCCCAACAACCCTGAATTCGTAATCCCGGTAACGTACGTGTAACGCCTCTGGTGTTCCAGGTGATCCATCTGCTAGATTACTAGTTAGCCCATAAAAAAGGTACAATATTTTAATAATGCTAACTTTATCATCCACTATTTATATAACATACCATCAAAATAATAACTGCTAACACATAAAATATCATTATCTATGCTCCTATTGGAATTT